AAAAAACTTAGTGCTTGATTATTCAGACTTTGCATATTTTATTTAGTACATCATTTGGTCATTAGAATAAGTGATACAATCTAGGTTACAAATACAATTTGTCTATCATTTATCATTACAAACTTTATATATTCAGTACATCATCTGACCATAACAGTAAACTATAAAATTTAGGCTACAAAAAAAAATCGAGGCTTTAAACACAATTTATCTATCATAATTCCTGCCCTCGAGAGAAATTTCTTGTTTCGTCACAGCCTAGGCTATATAGTATAGGTAGTTGTATGACTGGTTCCGCCTCCGAAACCAATGGGTCGGTGGGTCAATCCGAGACACGATTGACCCAAAAGCCAACCCATGTTGGATTGATCATTTTGACAAATTTGCGAATAACCTGGTCAAGATTCTGTCTCCCCAAGCACTGATAAGACTACGTCAATCTGACCAAGATTTTATCGACCCAAGCATTGACAAGACTAGGTCAACCTATTTGGTTTAGATATTTTTTTGGCATAATATTTTTTTTTGACAAAAATAAAGATTAACCTTTTTTGTATATATATGTAGCAAATTGTTTGTCCAATTTTTTGTTGCGCTTTTCTTTATTGTTTTGCCCTTCTTTTTCCTTCATTTTAGGTAATTTCTTTGGTTTTTAGTCCGTTTTGTGGTTTGTTTTTTTCTGCGTTTTCGTTTGTGTTTTCCGGTTTTCTTTGTGTTCTCATTTTTGTTGTGCAGATCAGGAGCTTCGGGAGCATATGATTTCAAGGAGAAATTGGTCGTGCTAGCATAATTAACCAGACCTGCGCCGCGCGACCGCAACAGCATCCCAGCGTCCCCAGACCCGCGCCCCGCGACCACAACATCCGCGGCCTACGGGTTGGCGCGACCAGTTTTGAATTTTGATTCTTTGGTCCGTTTTTCGACGGCTATTTATTAGGAATCGTGCCTAGGATACTATTATTCACTCCAGACTCGTTTTTTTCTCCAATTTTCACTCAAGAAAATGATCTTACACTTTTGATCTCAACTTGATTTCTTCTTTATTTTTTGGGATTAAGCTTGTTTATCAGATTCGACACTCGGTTCTCTATCGATCATAAGATTTCCTTTTCATCTAATCCTTGAATATAAATGTTTGAGTTGTTGAGATGGTTTTTGTTAAATTCCATATGGGTGGCTAATTTGTTTTCCTAGGGATATGGGATAAAGTTTTGGTTTTGTTTGTGATTATCGTGCTCAAAGGGGTTTTTAATTATCATCCTTGAATGTTGAATATTGTTGAAGAGTGACATTTCAATTTTAAATTGATTTTCAATTAAATATGATTCATTTTCGTGTGATGTTCTTCATTCTAATAGACTAGTCGATTATCCATCTTCTAGTCTAATTTAATTAACTCTTAGAACCAATAGGAGAGGATTTGATCGATCTAAGCTTGTATAAAATAGGCTTGTTCGTAACTGTATTGCCTATGTGTTAAATGACTCGTTAATTTGTCGTTCATGTTTATTCTCTTGTTATGAAAAAGTTATTGAGGATGAATCTCTGAACGAGTAGGTTATTCGAATCCTTTAACCGAATGGTCACTTGTTCGTTAGTTGTGTTTCGAACCAGAACAATTATCACCGGGATTGGGGGTGCCAGCATTGCGCATTAAACTGTCGAGGGTGCTGTGGAATTTAAGGACCATTGGATCATCTCACTTTAATCTAATGGTTCTAATTTAATTTACTATTCATCTTTTTTTTTTTTCCTTTTAGTCAGGTGCCCTTTTTCCCTCCTGCCCCCATTACTATCATCTTTTCTTTCCCTCTTTCCATTTCCTGCCCTCATTTTTTTTAGTTTGTATGCACAAACAAATAAAAAATCTACAAAATGTCATGCCATGATTGTTGATACCCAATTTGGCTCCGATTAATTAAATGATGAATGAAATAATAAAAGAGCGGCCCAGTAACCGAGGAGCCAGAAAATACGTGATAAATGAATATACAAGCAGGTACCTAAGGCCGATCATCTAAAAGCCGACCGGGCCCCCAGATGACACTGATATTACAAAAAGCCGCATCTAGCAAACGTCACAATTGTCGGGAAGACAAATGCCCGTCGAAATTGGCAAAAGTTATAAGCGGGCCCTCACGATGACTTTCTCTTATTAAGTAATAATGTACTATTATTTGTCCACTTTCAAGATAATGAAATAGGTATATATATATATATGTAAAAATAAGAGAGAGAGGAGACTTTCCTCTCCATTCTTCTTCTTCTTCCCATCAACCAAGAGAGAGAAAAACTCTCCAAAATAAAAAAAGAGAATACACATTTTTAAGAATCATTTTCTTCATTTTCCTACTAGAAATTCGACTCTTATTTAACAGTTGATCGTCAAATTTTCGATATCAACAATGATGAAGAAAACAATCATATGCTAAGTCCTGGAAATAAGCCCGTAATTGAGGACTATGGGTGTGTAGATTGGGATAATTTAGAGATTCAAAGGTACTTATTTATTTTTTTTTTTGTGATTTTTTTACAATTTTTTTATTTTAATTGTATTTAATGTAGAATTTAAATATTTTCCTTGTGTTCTCAGGTATATACTTGAGAAGTATAGAGGATTGTTTAAATGTTTTGTGCTTTTTTTTTTCCTCAATGTTTGGTTGGTCAGTAAGAAGATGGTACTATTAGAATTTGAAGATGAAAATATGAAAATAATTTTGATTTCATATAGATTCAGCACATGTATAGTTCATTGAATTTTTTGGAACCCAATTGGAAGGACTTTTTGGCAATGGCAGATATTAGGACACTTTGCTTACTTTTATTTTTATTTTTATTTTTTTTAATGCAGTTGCTAATTAAAAAAAAAAAACTTTAGAATTTGTATGTAAAGTAGATTGTCGTGCTTTCTAATGTGTGCATTTCTCTTAAAGTAACTTTTAGCACTACTCTAAAACATTGTGAAATTATTTTGTTACTTGATCATTTAGGTTCATTCTATCTCTCTATTCTAGTGTGATGTGTTTTTGTCTTTTGGATAGTCTTTTGCCATATTTTCTTTGTGGATTATTTACAAATTTTTTTTTCTTTTTTTGAATTTTATTTGTATTTAAATGTAGAATTGAAGCTGCAAATATTGAAGAGGTCAACTTGAGCTCACCAAATATTGATGATATACTCAATGAAGGCCTTCGAATTGGAACGGAGTTCATTTGTGTAGATGATGCTTGGGATTGTTGGCAAAAATATGGCAAAAGGATAGACTTTGGTATTCGAAAAGATTATTCAAACAAGCAGAGAAAAGATGGAGTAGTTACAAATGCCGTATTCGTATATTATAAAGAGGGATTTTGTAAAGATGACAAAAGGGTCAACGATAAATCCCCTCAACGCTTTCAGGTAAGAACTGGTTGCCAAGCAAAGTCGAATGTAGCACTAAACCCGATTTCTGGGAAAATATATTGTTAAGGATTTTGTGGCGACTCATAATCATGAGCTTGAGTCAAGTGAAACCGTTCATATGTTTCGTTGTAATAGAAATGTAAACATGTTTCAAGCATTTGCCATCAACATAGCAAATGATTCTGGAATTACCCCTAAGGCAACTCAAGAGTTGTTGATTAGGGAGGCTGGTGGTAGAGAGCATCTTGGATTTATTAAGGAAGATCAAAAAACATATTTGAGAAATAGAAGAAAGAAAGAAAAAATGCTAGGTATGCTTGGTAGTGTTATGAAGTATTTTGAGAGAAAAAAAACCGTTGATGCTTCATTTTCTTATGATTTTGAGTTTGATGATGGTGGCCTAGTGAGTAATATATTTTGGGTTGATGGTAAAATGAAAGTCGATTATGTTGATTTTGAAGATGTTATTACATTCGACATGACATACGGGACTAACAAAGAGTTGAGACCCCTCGATGTTTTTACAGGTTTTAATCATCATAAAGAGATCACCATATTCGGTGCTGCCCTCTTATATGACGAGACAGTAGAGTCATTTGTTTGGCTCTTCGAGACGTTCTTGAGGGAACACGGAGGAAAGAACCTTCTACCATATATACTGATCAAGATGCGGCAATGGCTAATGCACTCGGTATAGTTATGGGGGATTCTTTTCATGGCTTGTGCACGTGGCATATTAATCAAAATGCACTAAAGCATTTATCCTGTTTTCATAGGCCTGAAACCGACTTACTGGGAGATTTTAATCGATGTATGTATGAGTATACTGATGTTGATGAGTTTGAAACTTCTTGGAGTAATATGTTACCAAAGCATGACTTACAAGAGAACTCTTGGTTGAAGCGGACTTATGTTGTAAAGAATAAATTGGCAAGGTGTTTCATGAAAAGTGTTTTCACTTTGGGTATTCGTAGTACGCAGCTAAGCGAGAGTTTGAATAAAGATTTAAAAAATCATTTGAATTGTGCTTTACATATCAGTGATTTTTTTAACCATTTTGATCGAGTGGTGGCTGATAAAAGAGATAAGGAG